AGAAAGTATCTATATCCCTGATCGGCCAGTTGCCTTCCACAGAGGGAGGCCAGACTGCGGCTTAGGCCTGCTTCCCACAGGGACATCAGTAGGACATCCTGTGATGGCTCCCAGACTGTTAGAGGGGGCAGGCTGGGCTGAGGGATGCCTCCCGAGTGCACAAATTTTTGTGCACCAGGCCTCTAGTATATTACATAAATGAGTATATATTATATAAATGTGTAAATACTTATTTGTAAATATACATACATTCATATATAAATACAGTGGGGCCTTGACTTCGAGTTTAATTCATTCCGTGACGGAGCTCGTAACTCAAATTACTCATATGTCAAGTCAAGAAGTGAACGAGTGAGACACGTGATGCTGGGCTGATGTTGTGGCGTTCACTGTGACGTTCGCTGTGCGGGGTCTAGCGATGGGGTATCTGAAGCTCGCTTGTAACCCGAATTTTAGCTCTCAACTCAAAGCAAAAAATCGTCCAAGAGACAGCTCGTATCTCGAAAAACTCGTTAGTCGGGACACTCGTAAGTCAAGGCCCCACTGTACTCCTGTTGGTGCTTAAAATGCAGAGAAAATGGGACTCTCAGTTGTTTTTTATCAACTTGATGGGAACTATATTCATTACATCAAGACTACAACCTTAGATATGATTATACTTGGAGAAAGATGGCCCAGAAACAAATGTTTACCTACATCCTTTGTGGATTCCAAAGAAGTCATTCAATGCTATTTATAAGCAGTGTATCTTCAGAAATCCTGAACTATTGCTTCTGCCAAAAGCAAACAAAATATCATGCCTGAAAGCTTTTAAATATGACATTAACATGTGCAGTTTTGAGTTTTTAATTTTTTAAATTTAAAACTTTTTAAAGTTTTTATTTTAATTGGCATAGTTATCATTTATTTTATTTTCAGAGAGATGTTTGAACTTTCTCATGCTAACCAGTTCTCTGAAAGCATATTAAGTTCAAAAATGTTTTTTAATTTTTTTTAAATCTTTTATTGATTTGTAGAGAGAGAGGGAGGGAAAGGGAGAAACATCAATCACATCAATGGGCTGCCTCCTGCACCCCACCCCACCCCCCTACTGGGGATTGAGCTTACAACCCTGGCACATGCCCTGACTGGGAACTAGTGACCTTCTGGTACATGGGACGATGTCAACCAACTGAGCCACACTGGCCAGCATGTATTAAGCTCAAAATTTAACTCAGATAATACTTCCACCTTATTTCCCTATAGATTAAACATTTAATCTGGTCTGTGTAAAATTATTGACTGCTTAAAATACCTTAGAAAAATAATAGTTTAATTGGTTTAGATACATACATATAATTTATAATGCTGATTGAATTTTTTTATTCACAGAACACTTAAAAAAAAAACTAGATGACTATATTAAGCTGTGGAATGGCCTAGTAAAGGTATTTCGAAATGAGAGAAGAGAAGGTTTAATTCAAGCACGAAGTATTGGTGCCCAGAAGGCTAAACTTGGGCAGGTAGGAAATATTTCTTCTTATTGATATTTACAATGTCATCATTTTGGATTTGGTAACTAAACAATCATATTCATTTTAAGTACTTTTTTAAAAAATTGAAATGCTGGCCTAAACAGATAAACTTATATGTTAAAAATGACTCTAATGCTAACTTATGTTGGTATCTAACTTTAAATTGTGTGTGATATATGATGTGCCATATGAGTGTTCTTCACCCTGCCTCTTTTTTTTTAAGGTTTTGATATACCTTGATGCCCACTGTGAGGTGGCAGTTAACTGGTATGCACCACTTGTAGCCCCCATTTCTAAGGACAGGTAACATCACCTTGCTTTTTTGCTTTCCTGGTTGAAAAGTAAACCTCACCCTAGGACAAATAACATTCTCATTCATCAAATTTCAGTTCTAGTCAACACATGAAGTGTTCTGTTCTGAGTGCTCTCACTCAGCCAGTTGTTTCCCAGGGTGGAGATAGACTGATAGTTTGGGCTGATTCAGATGCAGGCAGTTGGGCATTTGGGATAAGCCTAGGGTGTCTGATTCAAGAATCATCTGTGGTTGAGAGACTGCCTCTAGCTCCAAAAGCTTTCTCTAAGAGTAATATTGATTGCTCCCTCTATACCACCGTAACAATTCTAAAGATTTGAAGGAACAAGCCTTGAAATTATATGTATTGGTTTTTTAATTATTACTCAAGATAGTAAGGAGCAGTTTTGTGTCAAGGCATTGGGATCCTATAGAAACTTTAAGTTTAGAAACCGGCAGCTATTCAATGGAAATGTGGTGATCCCCGTCAAATTTAAAGAAATATCTGAAACAAAAGGAGGCAGCATTCGTCTCCTGGTTCCAAAAGCCTTCCCTGTCTTTAGTCCAGACTTGTGACTATTTTGGAATCTAGGCAAATAAGACATGGCCCTATGGTGAATGGCATGTTTCAAAGGGCGCCCTCTGGAGGATTGAGTCATCACAAGATGTGATGTAAGGCTTATTATAAACAGCTAGAGTCCCGGTGCATGGATTTGTGCACGGGTGAAGCCCCTCAGTCTGGCCTGCACCCTCTCGAAATCCAACATCCCCCGAGGGATGTGGCAGTGCCAAGTGGCAGGTGGCTGGGGAGGATCCCGAGCTAGGGCCAGGCCCCGCTGTGCCTTTCGGTAGCGCTGCTGCTGAGGCAGGAGAGGCCCCCGCCACCGCAGCTGCACTCGCCAGTCATGAGCCCGGCTTCTGGCTGAGCAGCACTCCCACTGTGGGAGCGCACTGACCACCAGGGGCCAGCTCCTGCGTAGAGCATCTGCCCCCTGGTGGTCCTTGTGTGTCATAGTGACCAGTTGACCAGTTGTTCAGTCAACCAGTCATAACGGTCGCTTAGGCTTATATATATATATATAGAATACATAGAGATTTTTCAATTTTTAAACCAGCTGTCTGGTTTAATCCTCACAGCACCCCTGCAGAATAGGTATTATTAGCTCCATTGTACTGAAGAGGATACCGAGGCTTAGAGAAGTTAATTAATTTGTCCCAAATCAGACAGCTAATCAACTGTCAAACCGAGATCTCTCTGGGACATCTTACACGGCACCATTTATTAAGAAATCTGAGACTCGGGAGAAGCGAGGAAAGAGAACCAACCTTCACCTCTCCAGGTGGAAACTAGCAGTCCTCTAGGGCAGTAAGGAAATAGTTTTCCACAGGATTTTGTGGCAATGCCACAGATCCCACAGAGACCCTCCACCGCCTCATAGGAGTGATTCCAAAGGAAATAACACAGCCTTCTCAAGTCCACTTACACCATATCAAAATTTTAAGCCGCTAACGTTTTTCCCTTCTCCTTTGTTTCTAAACTTTCAGGCACTGTAATCTCCATTTTAGGAAGTGCATTTTAAATCCTCTCTAATAAAATGAGCAATGAAACAAGCAGGGGAACAGATTATCTTTGTAGAGTTGACTCTGCATCTAGTCATATAGTACTAGCATTTTCCTAAAGTCAAATGCAAGGGATTTTTCTTTACTCCAAATTCTCAGGCCACACTTAAATTCTTTAGGTTTTGAGTGATCTTTTTTTCTCATTTTTTTAATGGGTAGGAATACAATAGAGTACTCTTTTTTTTCTCTCTCTTTGCAATGAAAACTGTTTGTTGCAATAAAAAGAAGTAGGAAAAAACGATCAAGAAAAAGTACAGAAACAGGTTTTCATAACTGCTTCCAAAGAAATAGAAAGCAACAAAGAGTTGGGAGAACTGCTAAAAAAATACGTAGCAGTATTATCCTTTTATACAGACACATGCACACACACACACACACTTATTTTATAATGGAGGATTAAGGAGGAAAAGTAACAGGCAGGAAAATCTTGTAAGCAATACAAAATTACGAAGAAAAAGTTGCCTGTCGGTGAAAATGAGACAACACTATTTAAGCTAAAAGACATGGCTCTTTGTCCCTGACATTTGTCTGTGAGCTGAGGGATAGTCTCCTTCCTTTATCCTTTCCTTATGAAAACGGGCTCTTTGACTTTAAAGGCCATTGATTTACTTCTACTTCTCATTAGATATTTAAGTCCCCTAGTGCAAAAAAATAAACAGAACCCCCCCCAAAAAAAAACAAAACAAAACAAAAAAACCCACAACAACTAAAACCCAAATCAGTGACAAAAAGAGATAATTTAGCGAGGCATGCTATACTAGTCAGTTTTGGGTTCTTAAATGCTTTTTCATTTTCTGTAAATGTTTCAGAACTACATGTACTGTGCCTCTAATAGATTACATAGATGGGAATGATTATTCCATTGAACCACAACAAGGTGGGGATGAAGATGGTTTTGCCAGAGGGGCCTGGGACTGGAGTTTACTATGGAAACGTATTCCTCTAAGCCACAAGGAAAAGGCCAAAAGAAAACATAAAACTGAACCTTATCGGTAAAGATTACTCCTTTATTTTCTTATGTGGAATGTTTATTTAAGTCCTTCTTTTTTTCCTTCCCCATGTACTCATGTATATATATGTGGGTCCGTGCATACCCTTCCATTTCATCTTTGCTGCTATCATCAACAAAATACAGAACCATTTGCACTGTGCCGATTATAGATGTCATAAATGGCAACACATACGAAATTGTACCCCAAGGGGGTGGTGACGAAGATGGGTATGCCCGAGGAGCATGGGATTGGAGTATGCTCTGGAAACGGGTGCCTCTGACCCCTCAAGAGAAGAGAATCAGAAAGACAAAAACTGAACCATATCGGTAATCACTAAATCACTTACATGTGTTTCTTTTCTCCATTTGCTGCTAACCTATTAACCTCTTGCCAAGCTATAACATTTGTTATTAAAACCGTAGGTGCTGTCTTAGATTCTGAAGACTTCTTTCTCGCATTATTTCACAGGCTTAAATTCACGTTCACTTCTTTATAATTGGTTTTTCCCTAAATGCAGGTGCCACTTTTTATTTTAGGGGAGCGGGGTGAAAGGGGAATGTTATATAGCATCAGTTCCAAATTCAAGCAAAAAAAGAATAATCATTATATAAATTTACAAGGCATAAATTACCTGTAATCCAAGTTTTACATCCGCTTTGATGCCTTGGATGTAATGTTAGCAATGAAAGCAATAGCAAGAGATTGGGGTGTGTGTTTGTTTTTCTTCCTTTTGTTTTATATGCTAATTTTGTACCAGTTAAATCTGATTAATCAAAATACATGACTTTGGCAAATGTTGCATACACTCCTTTATCGTTGCCTTCTCAGAAGAGCGCTTGATAAAAAGGAAACTGTGTTCCAGAATCAGCCTTTGTCCTTCCTGTGACTCTTCTAATAGAACAGTGTACGCTGTTCTGGGCTTTTAGGGTCTTTTAACCGCAACATTTGACTGTCTTTCTAAAGAGTGACTCCACATGAAATGTTTAGTCAAATGTTAGTGTAGGCTTCTAAATGTGCCTAATTTTATTTTTCTGATCTTACGGTTCTGCTTTTGATCTCTCTCTCCCTGTTATACTACTGATAATGTTAGAACTCTGTTTTGGAAAGATGTTTCCACTGTCATGCAAATGCTGGTGGGATTTAAGCATGTCACAATATCAAGATACTGAAATGGCAAACATAAGGAAATTATAGAACTTTAAGCTTGATTTGACATTTTCCCAATTTTCCTTTGAAGTTCTTTTTTAGAATAATTCAGAAACTTACTGTTTACCTGCTTACCTGACTAATATAATCCTGGGAGAAAAAAAAAATAAGGGGTAATGATTATGTTTTTATTTCTGACAATTCCATAGACTAGTAAAAAAAAAATTCCTTAAGTAGATTAGAAAAATTTAAGGGAAGTTTCCCCTTGAAAGAACTCACTGGTTTTTATGTTAAGATGCATTTTCATATATATGATGAGATAAATGAGAATATATTTAATATCAAAAAGGCAGAGTTATAATAATTTTAAATGACAGTTAAATAAATGTGACATAAAAATATAACCAAAAATGTAATAGTGCTAATATTTAGTGAGTTAGGCAGCATACTCTAAGAAGAAAGGGTGTGACAGAATAATGTTGATCCAATGTGATTTTTCTTTAACATTGAAAAAATTACATGATTCATTATTTATCCACTAGACAAATATTTAATGAGTACTTACTATGTGCCAGGCACTATTTTCTGGGAATAAATTTTTAAAAGATAGGTTCCCTTGTTTCACTTATATAGCGGGTGAGACAGAAGTTAAACAGAAAACTACATACATAACTCTGGAACAGAGTTGATGGAAAGGATAACCTCATCCAGCCTGGAGGATCCGGAACGGCCTCTTGACAAAGTGTCACCGGAGCTGAGACCTGAGGGATGAGGGATTAATCTTATGGAGGAGGAGGGGAAACATTTCAGGAGAGTGAACAGCACAGGTGAAAGCCCTGAGTCAGAAGAGTGTTTGGCAAGTTGAAGGCATGAGCGGAGCAGGGAAGGAGAACTCAGGACGAGGGAGCCAGCAGAGCCTCAGAGTGGAGAGAGCTGGCATGTGGGACCCATGTTGAGTCCCTTCTGCCTGTGGTGCGGTTAGACTTGGGCGGGGGCAGAAGAGAATAAAGGACACTAAAGGACATAAGTTACAAAGTTACTGCAACAGTCCAAGCAGTGGTGGCTTGGTCCAGGAAGGGAACAGTGAAGTTGGAAAGAAGTAGACAGATTCAAGATACATTTTCAAGGTAGAATTAATAGGAATTAGTGGTAGATTGAATATTAGGTGTGGTGACTTTTAAAAAAGGTACTTTAATAGAGGCATCTCAAGAATCATGATGCATTAATAATTAATTATTCAGGGAAAAAATAATTATTTGGGGTGGGGGATGCAGGCAACAGGATATAAATTAGTCCCATATCTCATCTAATGATGTGAGTGGCTTGTCCCTATAAAGCTACCCAATTGTTTTTATCTTGTCCCTAAAAAATACCAAATTAAAGAGTCCGCACCGATCGCCCTTCTGCAGGCCTCCCCCTGGCAAAGTGGCTATGTCTAATTCTTCTGTGTCGCTTCTGCGCTGTATTTGCAAACTCTGAATGAACTGTGACTGTTCTAAGATGAATTACACCCTTATTTGGCAAGCCCCTGAGCTATAAAATTAAAAAATGACAGACTACTTCCATGGTGTATGGTTTTGCTCATCCCATAATGACTCATGAATCATTGCAGGAGCAGTTAGCCGACCAAGGCTGTATGGCTCAGTATTTTTAGGAGTGAAAGAGAAAATGCTACTTCTACTAAATCTAAAGGCTTAATTTTTAAATTAACACAGGAGCCAAGGCTCCATCTAATGGTGAAATGATGCAATGCTCTAATTTGTAATGAACTATATGATTCTATTTCAATTAGAAATTTCAGTAAATTCACTGAGGAATTATGAACCGATCGTTTTTGCAAGGTTTTATAATTTCTTAATGTTTGGCCATCAGTTTTACCTCTTCTATGCATTATCTAGATTGTATTCTAAAATGACTCGTTGTCTATTGGTGAAGGGGCTTATCCTTAATAGTTATTCAAATGTTTCTTTTTCTCAGGTCCCCAGCCATGGCTGGTGGATTATTTGCCATTGAACGAGAGTTCTTCTTTGAACTGGGTCTATACGATCCAGGTCTCCAGATTTGGGGCGGTGAAAACTTTGAAATCTCATACAAGGTAACCATGCATTTAAACAAATGGCGTTTTCTCGGTCGTGACTGACTTTTGTGACTTTCAGGTAGAGGCTCGGTTCTGTTCAATGCATTTCTTTAAGTTATAAGGAACGGCTAGCAAAATGTATGCCTTTGGAGGAAAGTAGGCAAAGTACAAGCTCCAAACGTACTGCATATTTACATGTCTTGTCTGAAAATTGAGGCCAGGAGGCTTCAGAAATAAAAATACCTCCTCCTTCCCCACACCCAAGGCTTTCTGGACTTTGGAGCCTTTTGTTAGAGAAGTCCTTTGGGGAGTCTGCATGTGTTGGGGTCACATCTGACCATCCACTGACACAGGGACCCTTTATTACTGTAGGACATGACTTAGGACAGAAGCAGATCCCAACGACGGCTGTGCGTCCCCAGACTGATAGTGCAGCTGCCTTCCGGCAGCACCCCCGTCACTGAGCTCTGCCTTGAGCACTGATGCCTTCCATGCTCCAACAACACCTCATTTCCCAAAAGAAAGAAAAGGAACTATATCACAGTTTGAGTTAAGCAGATATGCGTTACCTCATGTCTTAAATGTCCAGGGCTTAGCACTGTGAGGAAGAAGAATAACTCAGTCTTTGCTCTCAAGGACTTGCAGTCAGTAAGAGATTAGAATTATACTTAACTTCATAATATGATAAGAAGGTAGAGTGCCATTTGGTTGGTGTGATTAAGAAACAGCATCTCGCTGGAGGAAGAAATTGAGGCAGAACTAGAAAGATGGGTATGCTATCGGTAAGTTGAGATAAAGGTGTTACTGGCAATGTTGCCTCTCGGTTCTTGAGTTTGGCAAAGAAAGAATTCAGAGCCAAGAACTCTAGCATTGTGGAAGTTTATTTAGCATGTAAAGCAAAAGTACACTCCAAGAAAATTGAGCTGGCTGCTCAGAGCGCTGCCTTGGCCTTTTGGAAAGTCACAGAGGCAGAAGTGAGCCAGGTGGGCTGTGTGGACTCGGGCAACAAGCTACATAGGCAAAAGAAGGGCCTTTGGACACAGATTCACCGCCCGGGCTAGCCCAGGCCGAGCTGCCACTGCCTACTGCTGTCCTGGTTGCAAGCTTCATGGGAACACTTAGAGCTTTGGAGAGAGAAAGCAAATATACATGCCTGAAGAAAGAAGGTGTGTGTGTGCTCTTGAGAGCGCACACTGGGTCCTTTGTGTTAGGTGTCTTTATCTGTTTTCTAAAGCAGGAATTTTAAGGGAAGTCTTGGGGGGAGGATCTCAATAGAATCTTCATCAGCTTTCCAGGTGTGCCCTTTAATATGCTGATCCATCAACATGAGCAGATAGGGTCAGGATCATGGTCTCTATTAATTGGTCCATGCTAGGTTAGGGGTCATTGGTCATTGCATCTGGTCCTCATGCCAACTATGACATTTCTTTGTCTGGTTTTGCTGCTTTTCTGGGCCTGGAGCTGAAACACGACTGAGGCCTGTCCCTGTGGTCAACAAACCTGAGGCTTTGTTCCTAACATTATGTGATGCAGAGAGTTTCTGTCCTGAGGGCTTAATGCTTAAGGGAGTGGTCATGCCAGGGAGGAGGCAGGAAAATCCGGGTGCTGGATGCGGCCAGTTTGAGTCAGCTGTCTGTTTCAGTTTACCCATTCCACCTGCCAAGGAATTTTTCTGGCTTCTCACTATCCTGCCTCAAAGGGAGGAGAGGGGGACTTCTGAGAAAATAGAATGGGAAGAGGTACAAAGGTGAGACATGAAGAATGTATTCAGGCCTTTTGGCCGGAACCGCCATCTTCCAGTAATTCGCCAAAATGACACACAAAGGGCTCTAAGAGTCAAGATAGCTTCCTGAAACGTGTGAAGGAAAATGATCAGAAAAAGAAGGAAACCAAAGAGAAAGGTACCTGGGTTCAACGGAAGTGGCAGCCTGCTCCACCCAGAGAAGCACACTTTGTGAGAACAATGGAAAGAAGCCTAAGCTGCTGGAACCCATTCCCTATGAATTCATGGCACGATAAGTGGGAAAAAGTAAAAAAAGACTTCTGTGCTGATAAAAATGTTTCTCGTAATTGAGTAGAAGTATAACATCCCTTCCTCCCAAAGAATAATTAAAGAAAACTTCGTGTCACCCTAAAAAAGAATGTATTCAGGAAACAGTGAGGAGCACAGTTTAGCAGAATCTGACAGCATGAATAAGACACACATTCAAGAAGGTAAAGTGGACTGGTGTGTTAGGACCGTACTGAAAAGAGTCTTTCATGCTGAGCTAAGAGATTTTTATTTAATTTGATAAGCAGTGGAAACCCATCAAAGATATTAAGCAAGGGAATAACGTGACCTAAAGCTGCCCTTCAACTAGAACAGTGACGGCGAACCTTTTGAGCTCGGCGTGTCAGCATTTTGAAAAACTCTAACTTAACTCTGGTGCCGTGTCACATATAGAAACTTTTTGATATTTGCAACCATAGTAAAACAAAGACTTATATTTTTGATATTTATTTTATATATTTAAATGCCATTTAACAAAGAAAAATCAACCAAAAAAATGAGTTTGCGTGTCACCTCTGACACGCGTGTCATAGGTTCGCCATCACTGAACTAGAATAATCTTTTGCTATAAATAAGGATAGCATTGAAGAGAGAGAAGTTAGAGGTGAAGAAGCTAGGCAGGAGATTATTATAATCACCCAGGTGGGACATATATTAGCAATGGAAACGATGAATGATGTTAGGAACGGAGACTTTGCATGGTTTGGCAAGGTTACATTGCGAAAAGGTTGCTTGGAGCGACAAGTACTTAGGAAAAGATCCCTTAGCAGCAGCAAAAGATATTACTGCTTTCCTATCGCCTCCTTCATTATTAAATGAGTTTGGAAAACAGGCAAGTTATTTTAAGATTTGTTTAGTTTACAAATTCCCTGTGGATGCTGTATCTAATTAAGATTTCAGATTTACAGTTACAAGGCAACTGTAAATAAATTTTTAGCCATAATTTATTTTGGCATTTGAAACAACTTCCACATGTGTTTTTTCTTGATAGATATGGCAGTGTGGCGGCAAATTACTGTTTGTCCCTTGTTCTCGTGTGGGACATATCTACCGTCTTGAGGGCTGGCAAGGGAATCCTCCGCCCATTAATGTTGGGTCATCTCCAACGATGAAGGTGAGTCTTCTGGTTGAAAGTGGAGAAGGCGAGGGAACTAACATTTGTGTACCACATGCTGTGGTACTCAGAGTAAATGTCAGCTCACTGAATGGGACAGTCTCTTAAGCCAGTGGTTCTCAACCTTCTGGCCCTTTAAATACAGTTCCTCATATTGACCCAACCATAAAATTATTTTCGTTGCTACTTCATAAGTGTAATGTTGCTACTGTAATGAATCATAATGTAAATATCTGATACGCAGGATGGTCTTAGGCGACCCCTGTGAAAGGGTCATTCAACCGCCAAAGGGGTCACGACCCACAGGTTGAGAATTGCTGTAAGCAATCACACAGGTCCTCACTTTTACCCTAGGCTAGACTTACTCATGAAATACCTTATTGTTCTTTAAAATTAGTCATTGTATCCCATTCATGAATGTTCTCCATAAAGACATCGCAAATAAATTCCAAAGGACTGACACTCTGTAGGAAAGGAAAGTAGTGGAAATGAAAATATCAACTTTTATTAGTCACAAATGAGGAAAATATTATTTTATATATATATACATATATATATATACATATATATTTTTTTAATAAATCAAAATGACAAACAGCCATGTCCCACAAGGCCTAATTTCACAGCAGCATGTGAAATTTAAAAACTTTAATTTTAAAAATTATATTAGGAGTTTTTGTAGTAAACAAAATCAAATTTTGAGTAGTGCTTGTGAAAGATCAATATTTTTTGTCCCTTAGAACAGGACAAACCAGGGAAGCTCCATACAGAGGCCAAATGTCCCATTGTTAGGATAACAGCTTCTGTTGAAAGCCTTGTTGGGCTGCTCTCGTAAGTTCTAAGAGCCCATAACTCTGATGCCCTTCATTTTCTGGAGTCCTTAACCAACTCAAGAGAACTCTACAAATGAATTGTAGCTTCCATAAAAAACTACCCAGGAAGTGCCATGGTCAGCATATTCTTAGAGAATGCCCCGAATGTGCCAGGCACTTGCTTTTCTCCAAATTTAGCACCATGCACTTCAACCACCAGGGTGCCAATGGTTTTTGTGGATTTATCTAGCCCATTTGTCTTTGAGCTTCAGATCTTTATAGTTAATTGTCTTCTAGAATTATCCTCTTAGATATTTCAAACTCAATGTAGTCAAACTTTTAAACTTGTTCTCAAAAATTATTTCTTTTCCTGTGTTCTCTATTTTCCCATGTAAAACTTGGGGGGCATGTTAGGGTTGTCCAACTCACCTCTCACCTGATGAAGCCCTGACAATTCAACCTCAGACATATCTCTTAAGTCCATCCCTTGCTATGCTTAGTGCAGGTCTTTAGATGTCTCCCAGGAATATTAAACAGCCTCCCACTTGGCTCTCTGTCATCAGCTTCGATGTTCTTATGTCTGTTTCCTGCTTAAAACCTTTTGATGACTCTCATATAAAGGATAAAACCATAAAAATAAGAATAGCTAACATTATTTTATTCGTTATTAGGTATCAGTCACAAATCTACATGCTTTCCATAGATTAATTTTTTTAATTTTCACAACATACTATAAGATAAAGACTATGATTATTCTCATCTTAAAAAGAGAACAGTGAGGAGAGTTTCTCTCTGAATCCTGCATTCATTCCACCTGTGGCAAACTACTTGGAGTATTCCAAATTCATCATGATTTGCCGTCTTTATTTTCATTTCTCTTTGCCCTCAATACGATACCCACCTAATTAACCACTCTTTCAAGATTGAGCCATCCAGCATCCCTCCAATGATGCCCCTTTCCACCCCAAACAACTATTCCTTCTTTTTGTTGCTATAACCTTATGTGTGTGCATTTAAATCTTCACATTCATTAGTATCTAAAAGACATGGACTGTGTCTAATTTTGGATGAATTTGCAAGGATTCAAAATAGTTAGCTATATTACATGCTCTTTTAGGATACCGCTGCTTAAGACTTTGTTGAAGCCAATAGCTTTTGCAATAACATGCTTGCAAGGTCACGTTCACCCTTTGATAGTTATCTTGTAGTCTAGAAAAAAATGTAAAAGAATGCTAGATTTTCCTACTCCTGATGTAAAACAATGGGCCAGATCCAGCCCTATAGTAAATCAAGTTGTATTGGAGCACAACCCACACCCATTTGTTTATACATTGTCTATCGCTACTTCTCAGCAGAGTTGAGTAGTTACAACAGAGATATCTATGGCCCACTAAGCCAAAAATGCTTTCTCTCTGGCCCTTTACAACAAAGTTTGCTGAGGCATGCTGGAGAAGACCAAGAGACTAGCTTGAGTGTGTACTAAATCTGTCACATATATTCATGCCTACATGCAGCATTCGGTAAAACCTTAGAAGTTAGGTCTATTTCAGTTATCACAATGTCAGCTGATTTTATTGTTCATTAGTTACTTTTTTCTTAACGTGTGCCAACTGGGGAAAATACCCAGTTAATTCTGGGTTATGGTAAAAATGGTCCTATTATAGTTGTAAGATGTGTTTTATTAAAACTATTGTTTTTCATGATGGTTTCTGAAATGGGGTTTTTCCCTGCATATCCTAGTAGTATGGAGATAATTCTGGGAGGAGCACCAGTGTCCAGCCAGCCTCTCATAAACCCCTCTAGGAAGCAAATCTTCCTTTAGAAGCAGGACGGAATATAGTCTCTTAAAATAGATATCTCTTGCAGCTAAGAGTCTATGTCCATCACTTTTTAGTTGAACATGCATGATGATTTTATCCTTGGCAGTTGACATATTAGAGTCATTAGCTCAGTTGCATTTGTTGTTTAAATATTAGGCCTTATTGAAATAAGTTTGTTATATGTTGGTCATATTTCAGATGTCTAAAAGAAGCTGTTTATGACATTACAAATATTTTTCTTTGTTATAATGATATTAATTTTTTCCTCCACAGAATTATGTTAGAGTTGTTGAGGTCTGGTGGGATGAATATAAAGACTACTTCTATGCCAGTCGTCCTGAATCAAAGGCATTAGCATATGGAGATATCTCTGAGCTGAAAAAATTTCGAGAAGATCACAACTGCAAAAGTTTCAAATGGTTCATGGAAGAGATCGCTTATGATATCACCTCACACTACCCTTTGCCACCCAAAAATATTGACTGGGGAGAAGTAAGTATCAGTGATATTCAGATATCAAAGGGCGTGTGTTTGGAGACTTGAGTTTGGGAGAATGCAGGGAGAGATGAATGTATGAGGGAGAAGAATCCTGAAGGAAAGTTTGGGTAAATCTGTCTGGTACCCACACGACCCCCCTCTCCCCTTCCCAGTTACAACACCCGGAGCAGCTGCCTGTGTGTCCCCTCTTCTCTGCACATGTGCCTCCTCTGGTCGGGAACACTGTCTACTCTCTCCTGCCACTTCTCTGCCCCTCACTCTGACTCCCTTTCTTGGCTAATGCCAACTTATTATTACTGCATTCACTGTAGGAATTACCATTGTAGCTTTTCTCAATGAAAAGTCTTTTGTATTCTTTCCCACTCCATCAAAAAGACTCAGTCCTGTGGTTTTTGCATGAGTTCTCATAACACTGAAAATTGCCTCTCTCTTAGCCGGTCAGTTAGTATACGTTCACCATTGTGTCCCAGTGAACTACTGCAGAACCCCCATATACAATAGGCCCTCAAAATGCTTGTCAAGTGAATGAATTAATTAATGGTAGCTGGAAATAATTAAAATCAAAGTCATTGATCTGTGTTGTCATTTCTTTGGTTCTTCAAACTTGCCTTTGTAACTGGGTGCATTTCTGATTCACCCACCCATATGGTGCTGTATTAAACATGCCACGAACTTTCACATCTATATGTTTTTGTTAATTATGTGTCCAACTAATATTAGCTGAGCCAGTCACTCTTCTGGATAGAAAACAAGACAAACAAGGTCCTTTTCCTCAGGGAACTTACATGCCAGTAGATGAGAGACAACCCCCCCCCCCCAAAAAAAAAAACAACAACAAAAAACAGGAAAAACAAAGAAGATATTGATAGATGGTGGTAAAGGCTATGAATGAAATTAGCAGGTAATGTTCAAGAGGACATAAGGATAGGGCAGGGAAGGCTTCTCTGAGGAGGTGACATTATCTGAGATCTGAAATCAGAGCTGGGAAAGTGTTCTAGGTAAAGAAAATGAGTTTGAAGGCTCTGAGCCAGGAAATGCTTTGCATGTTTGATGAGCAGAAAAGAGCAGGTTAAATAAGACAAGTGACAGGCAGGTGAGGAGGGAGGCGTTTTATCCTAAGGGTGGTAGGAAGCCATGCAAGGGTTTTAAACAGAAAGGTAACGTTATTAGATTTATGCTGTTGTTTTTAATCACCCTGCTGTGAGGATTTAGAGTAGAAACAATAATGACAGTTTAGGAAATGAGTAGGGTATTTCCAGTGAGAAGTGATGGGAGTTTGGACCAGGGCGGTGAGGACAGAGATGAAGAGAAGCATACAAAGTGAAGATCTGGAGGTAGGTCACTGATGGCTTTGTATGCGAAGGACATGGGCCAGGATGACATTTAGTTTTGTTTTTCATTGGAGTAGTGGACCAGGTGGCATCTGAGATTAGGAAGTTGGTAGCCAGGATGAGTGAGACGGGTCGGGAATAGCAAGTTCTCTATTGGTGTTCTGGACTTGGGAAAGGCCCAGGTGGGCCTAATCAAGTAGATCGTAAGCCGTGTAATATTGAAACCCAGAACAGAGGCAAAGGTACATCTAAGGATGTATGTTTGGAGCCATCAGCAGGTGGATTGTTTCATGGGGCTGGATGAGAAAACAGAGGACAGGATCCGTTCCAAAGGAATTCCAAGAAGCCAACAAAGGACTCTATGCCACTCTCTCTGCACCTCTTATTTTAGTGCCTTTATCCCGTACCCTTATTTCACCTCTGTGTGCTGTTACAGCAAGTTGTGTTTAACTCCCAACCAGAGCATGGCCCCCGGCAGCTCAGACCCCAGTTTTGGTTATCTTTTAATCTCCTAATTCAGGGGTCCTCAAACTTTTTAAACAGGGGCCAGTTTACTGTCCCTCAGACCGTTGGAGGGCCGGACTATAGTTAAAAAAAAACTATGAACAAATTCCTATGCACACTGCACATATCTTATTTTGAAGTAAAAAAACAAAATGGGAACAAATACAATATTTGTATTTGCATGTGGCCCGCAGGCTGTATTTTGAGGACCCCTGTCCTAATTACTATAGTGCCTTCTATGCAAAAGGAAGGAATTCTCTTGGTGATCTTGTCTGTCTCGTGGCTTTAAAACCATCTACATGCTGGTGACCACAGTTTCTATCTTTAACCTAAATCTCTCTCCCAGAGCTCAGACAAGTATATCCAACTGCCTATTGGACCTCTCCATTTGACTAATAGACATCTCAAACTCAACACATCCAACCGTGACCTCCCTGTCTCCCCTCCCCAGCCTATCTTAGCTGATTGCTCAGGCCAAAGCTTTGGAGTCTCTTTTGAATCCTTTCCTTCTCTCTCTCACATCTAGTTCCAAACTCTGATCCTTTCTTGCTCTTGTCTAAGCCACCACATCTCACTGAAACTAGCTTTGCCTTCCTACTTCCTGTTCTAAACACAGCAGTCAGGATGGTCTTTCAAAAATGATCATGTTACTCTGTCAGAAACCTGCAGTGACACCTCCTGTTCCTCAAAGAGAAGGCACAGTCCTTTCTAATAGCCTCTAGGGCCTGCATCTCTGGCCCTATTCCTCTCTGGCCTCACCTGCTACTCTCCTCACTCACTCCAGCCCCACAGTCCTCCTCACTTAGTGCGGGCAGCCTTTGCTGCCCCCTCTGCCTGGACCTCCTTCCCTCTGCATAGCTAACTCTTACATACACCTCAAGTCTGCTCCCCTGGCACCTTCTCAGTGAGATCCACCTGCTATCCCCCAAATGCTCCTAGCCACACAGGCCCTCATTAACTTGCTCTTTTTCTTTTCCATTTCACGGTACCTATCCCTCTCTAACATGTCTATTGTGGCTTGGGCTTTTATTGTTTCCTTCCCTAGGATATAAGCTCACAGGGGCAAGGGTCTTATCTGTTTCATTCATGGGTGTATCAGAGCCTACAACATACCTTACGCAGTACTCACTTCATATTGAATGGATAACTAAATGCCTAAGTGAATCAATACATGGAATTTTCTGTCCTCCCTTTACAATCTCAATCTGAATACATCTTCAGTTTAACCGCTTCCTGTTCTGGCACCTTACATTTCACTTCTCAGCCTTCCCTGCCCATTCCAGGGTAAAACCCACCAGCTGCTTCGGAATTCCCCCAGGCGGCTGCGGGAGAGGGCTCTTCCTCCGCACGTCCACCCCTCCATCCTGACTGACTTGACCCCTCAGCCTCCCTGCAGACGTGAGGGTCCTGAGGACCAGGACTTGCTTTTGCTTCTCTTTGTATCTTCTAGAGCTCTTACATTGTCACAGTGCTCGGTCAGTATATACTGACTGAATGAATAAAACATATACTATAGTAATTTATACTTGAGATACATAATGTTTCTAAAAAGGGAAAGGGTTGTTTTTATAAGAAATATGCCGGGAGCCAGTCCATCCTTGCTGTTTCAAGGGACCTGGCATATATGGCATACTGTTCTTAATATATTTGCTCACCTTCTTGGCACTATGTGTTTTAACCAAGGTCACCTCTCTGAGAAAGGTTGTTTCCCCAGGTAGAGATTTTCCCCTGAAGTTAGGGAGGGAATAAAACCCCTTCACTAAGT